AGTACCAACTTTTCTCATTTTAACAGATAATGTTTCAAAAAAAATTTCGGGGGCAGCCCCGTGGGCCCCCGCCCCTTCAACTCTGGGACCCCCCTAATTTGAAGGGCTGGCTCCGCGCCTCCGCCCCTGCAGGCACGTGCATGTACTATCTTATTGGATGGGATTTAAATTGAGCAGCTTGTGGTAATTTCAAACAGAATTTATGAAGGTTAAAATTGAAGTCTGAACAAGTGTAACAAGAACCAAATAATGGTATATTACAATCAATACATATGTGCTGCTTGTTTGCACTTGGCTCTTCTATAACCTGCATATCATGAGGATGGCTGAAATTCTTCATATCTCTTGATTTTTTTGCCCCTCTTAAGTGATATAAACATTTTTAGTGTTGTCGTAATGTTGTTTTATATTTTTACAATCATTATAACCATGACCGAAAACTCAAAGTCCGATTTTGATTAGATTTTGCCTCCTGGCTCCTCCCCTGCATGGGGGTGGCCAAGAAAGTTGGCTTAACATCACCAGCCATAATCACCACAATCTTCTCTTCAAAAGGCAGCGCCGCCATCTCCGTCGTGGCGTTTTCACATTTATGATCATCATCACCGGCCTCGGTGTCTCTTTCACCCTCTCCGGCGCCATTCATTTGGTCAGAGAGTTTCCAGTACGAACAGGCCAAGATCAAGAGCGCAAAAGCTATAAGTCCCAGCATCACCGCCAGCCCGCCGAAGAGATACGGCACCGGAGAGTGCCACGGGGAGCGCTGGATGGTGGTAGCAGACGGCGGAGTAACTGTTGTTTTTCCAGTTATTGTTGCTTCTTCTACTGTCATTTTTGATGGTGCAGTGTTAATTACAGCTCGCTCTCTCTCTCTCTCTCCCTCTTTTTTATGGGAGAAAGGAAATACTGATGAAGAAGATAAAAATGGTGGAATTGCTTGAATTTGTGCTGTGGAGAGAGAGAGAGAGAGGTGAGATGTATTTATAGAGAGAGAAAAGGTTGTGGGGACAGTGCTCTATGCTTAGGTCACTCATGGATTTGGCCAGGTTATGTTTAACAAAGACATCATTGGAGGAGACTCCGATCCTATGCATCAGGGTGCTGTCCCGAACAATCCCATCCATTCGTTCTTAATTAACCGAGCAATTACATATCCGACGTATTTCCCATATAGTAGTTTCATATATTATTATAGCAATTACACGTACACATTAAGTTTTATCGTTATCTATTTATATAATTTCCTGTTTGGTCTCCATTATTTCACATTTTAATGCGGAGAATAGTAATTTTTTTTTTTTTTTAGAATGTATGACTAAAAAATAAGGAAAAGTTTTTTAAGTTTACGTATAATATTATTTTATTTAAAAATTTGTTATTGAAAAGAAGAGACAAAAAAATGAATTTTAATTTAATAATGACCAAACATTGGCTAAATTTCTTGTTATAAATGTGTTTGGGAGAGTACATTTCATAAAATTCGGCACGAGACAACAAAGTGAGTAATTTTGTGAGATTAAATTGATTGACATGGCGCAAATGGAGCTTAATTTACTGTTTTTAA